GCGCCTCCCCGGGAGGCCTTAAAGGGGCGAGGCAAGGGTTGGGCCTGGGGCACTGCGGTGTAATGTTTGGGGGCATGCTGGGGGGCAGTGTCAGGGAGATGCTGGGGGGCAGTGCCTGGGGGATGCTGGGGGGCAGTGTCAGGGAGATGCTGGGGGGCAGTGTCAGGGAGATGCTGGGGGGCAGTGTCAGGGAGATGCTGGGGGGCAGTGTCAGGGAGATGCTGGGGGGCAGTGTCAGGGAGATGCTGGGGGGCAGTGTCAGGGAGATGCTGGGGGGCAGTGTCAGGGAGATGCTGGGGGGCAGTGTCAGGGAGATGCTGGGGGGCAGTGTCAGGGAGATGCTGGGGGGCAGTGTCAGGGAGATGCTGGGGGGCAGTGTCAGGGAGATGCTGGGGGGCAGTGTCAGGGAGATGCTGGGGGGCAGTGTCAGGGAGATGCTGGGGGGCAGTGTCAGGGAGATGCTGGGGGGAAGACCCTGGGGGGATTCTGCAGTGCTGGAGCCCGGAAGGCCCATTGCTGATCCAGGCACAGGTGAACCTGGTAGAGGAAGAAATTTATGGGATCCATTGAAGAGCTGTTGGGCACTGCCTGGTGTGGGGGAGGGAGTGTCACCCTAGCCTGCTGTTAAATTCCAAGCCCAGCCTGTTTCCAGTTCAGTGACCCAGCAAACACTTTGCAGACTAGTCTGTGTGTGCCATACCATCCATTCCCTGTCTTTCCTGCCACAGGAGTCTGTCCCCCAGGTCACCTTTCCGCCACACCCCAAGGCACTGGCAGAGAGGATAGAATCATAGAGCTGGAAGAGACCTTAGAAGACCATCAAATCCAGTCCCCTGCCCAAGGCAGGACTAACCCTAATTAAATCATCCCAGACAGGGCTTTGTCAAGTTGAGGATGCAGGCAGACCTGTCATTTGTTTTCTTGAATCGCAGCTTTCATTAAAAAAAGGGTGTGGAACCAGAACAGCAAGAGACTAAGGCCTGGGTTGTCCTAAAACTTTTAAGTCAACCCAGCTGTGCCACGCAGGGAAAAGTCCGCCCCACTGCATGTGACAGAAACAGCAGTGTCTGCGGAGAGCCTAAGCCCATGGCTCTGAAAGGATGTCAACCCAAGTATGACCCAGGTTGCCTGAGTCAGCTGAAAGCCTGCATTCATTACTCTGAAAGGGGAGAGCTGGCCCCTAGCATCAAAATTCACTCATGCCAGCGCCGACACTTGAAACCTCAATGCTATGTTGCTGCTCGTTGGAGCCTCTCAGAAGAGAAGCATCATACAATGGTGGTCTGCCCACACATTTCCCAAAGTGGTGGGGTGGAGGCACACCCCAAAAGGATTAGCTAGTTGAGGGAAGAGGAAGATACATGACAAGGGCCTTACTGGGTCAGACCAAAAGTCCATTTAGCCCCGTAATCCTGTCTTCCAACAGTGGCAAGTGACAGGTGCCCCAGAGGAAAGAACTGAACAGGGAATCATCAAGTGATCCATCCCCTGTTGCCCACTCCCTGGTCCTGGCAAACAGGCTAAGGACACCATCCTTGCCCAGTCTGGCTAATAGCCATTGCTGGACCTAACTTCAATAACTTTATTTAGTTTGTTTTTGGCCTGTTATAGTCTTGGCCTTCACAACATCTTCTGGCAAGAAGTTCCATTGATTGACTGTGTGTTGTGCAAAGAAATACTGCCTTTGGTTTGTTTTAAACCTGCTACCTATTAATTTTATTTGGTGTCCGCTAGTTCTTTTGTTATGGGGCAGGGAGGTCTTTAACAATGAAGGTATCCCAGTTACCAAGCATACAATACAAGTCTTTGTGCCTTTGGGCACAATTTTGCGGGGGCCCCCTTTGGAGACAAAATAGAAAACAGGCGTCAAATGCGCAAATTGAAGGCTATTTTTCATATTAAATGTGAATTGGGTAAATTTGATAGAAACTTAATTTAGTTGGATAATTTTTATTTTAATTATATTGTAATTCATTCTTAAACAAAATTCTGCATTAATAATTAAACATTTTCATGTGTATTTAAGTCTACTGTAGCTGTCTAGCTCTTTTGGTAGCACATTCTTCAATTATGTCAGTAAAGTCCATTTCTTTACAGGTCGTTTTCAATCGATATAATCGAAAGACCTACAAAATGCTCCTGGCTCACAGTAGATTCTCTTTGGCTGCCCATGGCTGGTATTTGCCAGGCAACGTTAGGTGTTCCGCAGCTAGGCAGCATTGGGACTTGCGGGGGCTAGGTGGAGTGTGGGTGTTGGGGCTTGGGGGGCCAGGCAGCATTAGGTGTTGGGATTTGGGGGGGCAGGCAGTGTGTGGGTGCTGGGATTTGGGGGGCAGGCAGCATGTGGGTACTCAGGTAGCCCACTTCTTCAGATGATTAGAGTATTGGATGTCCAGGACTCTGGTCATCTGAAGAAGTGGGCTGTTTCCATGAAAGCTCATAATACCATCTACATGTTTTGTTAGTCTTTAAGGTGCTACTAGACTATTTGTTGTTTTTTTAGTTTATCCTGTACAGACTAACTTGGCCACCCCCTAGAGTAATAAGAGTATAATAGCTACTGCGCCTTCAGATGATTAGAGTATTGGATGTCCAGGACTCTGGTCATCTGAAGAAGTGGGCTGTTTCCATGAAAGCTCATAATACCATCTACATGTTTTGTTAGTCTTTAAGGTGCTACTAGACTATTTGTTGTTTTTTTAGTTTATCCTGTACAGACTAACTTGGCCACCCCCTAGAGTAATAAGAGTATAATAGCTACTGCGCAGCCTGTCCTGTCCCTGCATTGAGGGTCTCCGCCGTGAGTCCTGCATTATATAGTCAAACCTTGTCTGGCATTAAGATGAGGGCATCCGCCCCCTTTGTTAGTCAATGTGCATCCTGAGATTTCTTTTTTTAAATTTTACATTCTGTACCAGGTGTTTTACAAAGATACCGTTGAGCTCATTCTCTTCGCTTCTCAGACTCATTTATCCTGGATAAGGGAAACTGCATGTTACCAGCAGACTGGGCCCTTTCTCTTTTACAGGGGCGGATGAGAGTTTTGCAGGGCCCAGGGCAGCACAATTTCGCGCATGCGCCATGGCCGCAGCCGACAGATAGTAGTGCGTGCGCGGGGCCTATTGAAGCGCGGGGCCTGGGGCAGCTGCCCTGCTCACCCTGCCCTATATCCGCCACTGCTTTGGGGAAGATGAGTAAGAAAATCTGTGTGCGTATATAGGAAGCCTCTGTGGAAGTTTCATTGTTTTTTCCATTATTCACATTTTTACTCCCCATCATTCTCCCATCATAAAGATCTAGATAATTTTTTTAGGAGGGTTAGAAAATAAAAAAAATTGATCTTCCGTCATTATCCTTTTAATCGTTTCCCTGGCACTTTCAATCTTCTTGGACAATAAGCCAGCCGAAAATGTTTGTAGCATAGAAAATTACAATGAAACTCAGGAAAGGATTGTAAAGGGCTTGGCGAGATAAGGTGTGAGCTGTTATATTAGAGACAGGCCGCCCTCTGGTGTGTTTCTAATGTACAGCACACCCACTGGGAAAAACAGGGCCCTGTCAAGGATGTTCTAAAAAATGGTGCTTGGTCCTGCCATGAGTACATGGGATTAGATTTGATGACCTCTTGAAGTCCCTTCTGGCTGCATCATGAGTGGGGGGGAGGGGGAGTTGGCACACAATTGGCTTTCAGCTGTGGGAGTGTTTTAAGGAGAGATTTGAAGGTAGATGCTGAGGTAGCTTTGTCGCTGTTTATTGGGAACGCCTCCCACACAGGAAGGGGAGAAACAAGAAGGAGCTTTTGTCATCTGATTTAGCAGGTCTAGTAAGAACTTACTAAGTTGAACACTGAGGGCACCCCCATCAATCCCAGAACTCCTCACAGTCACGGCTGTGAGGAATAAGTGAAGCCAAAAGGAGAGTTTCTCCCAACGACCTCCCACTATCATGCTGCCCCAAAAAATGGATGCAAGGGCATCCCACCTTTTTCCAGCCCCCCAACGACTCTTCCTCCTTTTCTTCAAGCCACCCTCCAACAGCTTTTCCCAACACCCCAACGACTCTTCCTGCTTTTTTCCCATCCACCCTCCAACAGCTTTTCCCGCCTTTTTTCCATCCCTCCCAACTGTTGTCCCCGCCTCAGACTTGAGCTGCCTGAGGTGAGGAGAAACTACCCCATGGGCACCCGGGGGGAGGGGCCTCACACCCTGTTCCCATGGCTGTATGTAGGGTGTGGGACAGTGCCCCCCAACCTTATACAGCCCCCCAACTTACCCTGCCTTCTTCTGCCCCACATACCACATCCCTCACCAGGGAGAGGGGAAGCCTGACCACCCCTCCCCCAACACATGGGTGCCCTGAGGCATTGGGTGGGTCAGCCGTGGTAAAGCAAGGAGGGGGCATTAATGGGATGAGAGTGCTGAAGGGGGAGGTACCAATGGGGCAAGGGTGCCGAGGAGGGAGGTATCAATGAGGTGAGGGTGCCGAAGAGGGAGGTTTCAAGGGGGTGAAGGTGCTGAGGAGGGAGGTACGGATGGGGCAAGGATGGCATGGAGGGGGTACCAATGAGGCGAGTATACCATAGAAGGAGAACTGATGGGGTGAGGGTTTTGTGGAGGGGATACAAATGAGATGGGAGAGCAGCCAGATACAGGCTTTCGGGTGGCACATGGCTGGTGGGGGGCAGTACATCAGGGCATAGGAAGGGATGCATTACAGGCAGGAATGTGGATGGGTAAATTGGAGGTGTGCCCTTGCACAGTTCTAGTACCCACTGGGATGTGTCAGTTAGAGGGCAGCAGAGTGGTACCCGGCAGGCGCTGCCAGCCCTGAGTGATGTGTCACCACACAGCAGTGATCTGTCCCATGCAGGATTGAGGAGGACTGAGGAGATAAAAGGAAACCCTGCAACTCTCCCAGCAGTGGCCAAGCATGGAGGAGACCCACACATCCCTCATCCCATTCGCAAAGTACGTTCACTGAAGGCTCCAAAGTGGGATCCGTTCACAGGGATCTTTTGGTAACAATCCATTGGAGGGGGGGGCTGAGCTTTCAGCTATATTGGTGTGTTTTGGGGAATCTGGGGCCATATAGATAGAATGAGCATATGGGGTAAGACAAAGAAAAGGACAGAAAGAGAGATAGGTGTGTGGGGATAGATAGATAATATGGAGATAGACAGATAAATGGAGTTTACAGGGTTGGATGATAGATAATATGTGAGATGAATGGCTATATATGCCGCTGGAGAGCTTCCACATGGGTGGAAGGAATGACTAGATGGATCAATTGATAGATGTATTTGGGGATGGAAGGATAGACTGGTAAACATGTGTGGGGATTGATGGTGTGGATCCACCTGTCTGTCTCTCTGTGTTCTGTATGTCTGGTGATCTGGACAAATCTGTGCCTATCTATCTAATATCTGGACAGCCGAAGATGAAGTTGGTGTTTTTTAAAATGTTTTTTCTGTTCCTATAAAATTGGGACATCTGCTCACCCTGCTTCCAGTCTTTTACTGAAGCTGAAGTGATGTAAACTCTCTTCTGAGCTAAAACTAAGGTCCACACGCCTCGTTAACAAACTTACATATCAAACTAATGTTTGATTAGCATGACATGAAATGGCAGCATGCTGAAATGCTCATGTTATATGTGGAAAGACTGGGAGCTTTCAAATCTCATTCTTCCCCCTATGTTTCATTAATCAAAAATTATATTGTAATGTGCTGAATATAAGAACATAAGAACGGTCATGTTGGGTCAGACCAGAGGTCCATCTAGCCCAGGATCCTGTCTTCTGACAGTGGGCAATGCCAGGTGCATCAGAGGGAATTAACAGAACAGGGAATCATCAAGTGATCTATCCCTTGATGCTCATTCCCAGCTTCTGACAAACAGGCAAAGGACATGCCTAGTATGGTTTTCGATCCTTCCCATCTTGGCTGATAGCATGGACCTATCCTCCATTAATTTATCTAGTGCTTCTTTGAACCTTGTTATAATCTTGGCCTTCACAACATCCTCTGGTTGGGAGTTCCACAGGTTAACTCTGAATTTTGTGTGAAGATATACTGCCTTTGGTTTGTTTTATACTTGCTGCCTGTTAATTTTGTTTGCTTACCTCTAGTCCTTGTGTTATAGGAAGAATTAATTAACACTTCCTCATTTATTTTCTCCACAGCAGTCACAATCTTGCAGCACTTTATCATATCCCCTTTTTGTCATCTCTTTTTATCTCTTTTCTGAGCTGAAAAGTCCCAATCTTATTAATTTCTCTTCATATGGCAGCTGTTTCAGACTCCCCCAAATTCTTATTGCTGTTTTCTGAATCTTTTCCAATTCCTGTATAAATTGTCGAGTCCCCAGTTTTAGCTCCAAAATTTGCATGGTAGGTGCTTGGACCTAACTTGTATCAGTGAACACTTGGTGTCACGTCCCACTGGGTCCCTCCTGAAACCTGACTCTTTCTCCAGCTCCATTCCTCATCCTACAGCCAGGGGGATTGTTTTCCCTCCATCTCCCTCCAGCGGTGGAAAAACACTACTCATGAATAAGCAGCAATAGGAGACGCTAATGTCAAGTACATGGACTTCATTTATCTGCTCACAGAACAGTGGGAGCTCCCAGCATAACTAGCGTTTAAAGAAATGTAACTGGATGACCAAAGGCACGGATCACTGTTGCCACCCAGCGCTGGATAAAGACTCTTTTTGTTTAATGTTTTAGTATTATTAAATTTAATGATCCCCTAAATAATACACTCCACCAGGAAGAGAAGACAGTGTTACAAGGATATTATCATCTTGGCTTCATGCCACAGGTGAGGATGGGTAATATTGAAATTCTGTTTAGCTACCAGTCTAAATTTCTTCCTTTACTTGGCTTCATAACCTGCATGTTTGCTGTTTGCTTTCATTCAGCCATAGAAGGTTCATAGGCAAAAAGGCCAGAAGTGAGGGACTATTTGACAATCTTCCATCATATGTCTACGCTTGTACTTGATTGACAAAACTATTGCCGTTCATGAGTGCTTAAATCCCTTTCCTCACCCCCATGAACTACAACGCTTTGTTGTGACAAGTGAGAGTGTGAACACTACTTTGTCGTACAGAGTGGAAGTATTTTGTCCGTAAAAGTGTGGATAAGCAGCATTCACACACGCTGACTTTTAGTGACACAACACAGCCTTTTCACAAGAGGCTGCATCGTGTAGACATAGCCCTAGTCTGACCCTTTATATAACATAAATGCACAGAATTCAACCCCATTCTCTTTGTCTTGAGCCCAGTAACTTGTGTGGAACTAGGGAGTTTCTTTTAATGGTTAATCATTCTGTCTGTGAAAAAAATTGTGCCTTGGTTTCTAATTTTAATTAATCTGGATTTAACTCCCAAGCCAGGTTCACATTAGAAAACTTTTGCTGGCATATACTTCAGAGTTATGAACGCCAAAGTTACAAATTCATACGTCAATTACACACTTCATTTCTAGAGCCCTGCATGGATACAAAATTTGTATCCATAGCTACATCTGCAAAAATGAATTGCAGATATCATAGAATCATTGAATACTAGAACTGGAAGGAACCTTGAGAGGTCATCAAGTGCAGTCCCCCTGCCCTCACAGCAGGACCAAGCACCGTCTAGATCAGTGGTGTGCAACCTGTGGGTCGCAACCCCCCCAGGGGGTCGCGGATGTCTTCCTGGGGGGCCGCCAATGGCTGGGGCCCA